AGAAGATTTTTGAAATATTGATTAATTTTCCCTTTGGGGCCCCGCCCTGGCCCCAGGGGTTGGGGTAGGAATCTCAATTTTACAATTTGAAACCATCTTCCTCCAAGGATAATTCTCACCAAGTAAAAATAATTTCCTACAGAAAGTTGTCAAAATATACCCAAAAGTGTTATTTCCCTATATAAACTATAGTAAAGTCAAAGTTTACCTTTCCCCTAAACACAAAAGTTAGAAACATACCAAAGTACAATGGCGCTCACCTTATAGTTCTTTAGAAAATGCTGTTTGAATTAGCACTCCATCAGTGGTACCTACTGGCAACATGTCGGGACCCTGGCCCTATGTAGCTAAAGAAGATCTACATTTATTTTTATTTTAGCAGCTATAATTTTGTGTAATTTTGAACAGGTTTGACAATACACACCCTCTAGATCTGTTTATACAAAATTGAGACCCTTTGTTTAGAGATGCTGTAGAACACACTTTTGGTTAAAATCCCTCTATTGGTTGAGAAGTAGAAGATTTTTTGAAGATTGACCACCTTTCCCCCTATTTGGCGCCACCCCTCTGCCCCCAGGGGGTTCATACTCTCCGTTTTTACCAAATTTAGAACCCTTTGGCTAATAATGCTTAAGTCCAAGTTTTGTCAAAATCCACTAAGTTGTTAAGAACAAGTAGCGTTTAAAGGAAAAACTAACACAAATATTACATCATATCAAAAACCACCAGAACTGCCTTATCCAATGTCTAGCATGCAGACTTAAAACTGGAGAGTATTTCATTCTAGCATGTCTGGGTCAAAGAGATTTTAACACATCCGACTCCTCATTCTGGGCCCCACTCTCACTCCCATATCCTGGCTTAGTGTACATGTAATTACTTAAGCTAATTACGTGTCATTAACGACACTATTCTCAGGGGTCATTGCAACTGACCAATCAGCTATTATCCCCTAGGTGTATGCAATAACAGCATCCCCTCTACTTATCGTTTTGACAGATTTTGCACTGTTTGTATTTTGCTTACACACCCACCATCCCCATCAGCTCCTGTCTGATGTGGTACACTTGTACTTCAGTATAAGGTTCTGATTGGGCTGTACACTTATTGTCAGGCATTTGTTCATTTAAGTATTGATCAACAATAAGGTTTTTCTACATTATAATTCGTGTTGTCTCTAATAATATATTTGCAATACATTTTACTCATTCTGTGTATTTTAGGTTGGCTACTCACTATTTAGTGTCTTTAATTGTCATTCATAGGCTAGGTTACTTTATTCCTTAGTGCTAGTGTGCTTTATCTCTTAACTTGTATCAATGCAATGAATCAATATTGCTCGGCGAACTTCCTTGGAATCGCTCCTAGTGAAGTACCTCTGGATTGACATTATATTTAGTTTAAGTAAAGCGTGATTTGTTCAGACTTACTTCTCTGGAGTCACTCCAGAGTCTGTCAAAAGAGTTTACTTCTCTTAAATTGGTCAAGAGTCTCAATCTTGAATCACTCAAGAGTATGGCCAGTCTTCCTTCTCTTAAATCGCTTAAGTGTTTTCTTTTAATTCTTGGGGAATTTTACCCCCAATCCTTTATTTAGAATATTCCTTTACTATATCATTAGATTTAGCTGCTCTTGAATCGCTCAGAGTATAGCTAGTCTCGGCTGCTCTTAAATCGCTTAAGAGTCTAATATTCTTTTCCACAGCTTCTCCGAAGTTGCTTAGAGTATAGTTGCTTCTCTGGAGTCCGGCAGAGTATATAGCTTCTTCTCTAAATTGTCTTCGGAGTCAAGCACGTTCTCCATTCTCAGCCATATAGCCAAATTGCCCCCTTTTTGGCCCCGCCCCTCAGCCCCCTGAGCCCAACCAATTGTACAATTTTGAATCTCTACTACCTAGGGATGCTACCAGTCAAATATGATTGATATCCATCTCTTAGTTCCAGAGAAGAAGTCGCTTGAAGCAATATAGCAAAATAACCCTTTTTGGCCCCGCCCCTCAGCCCCCTCGGGGGTCAGCCACACCATCTGTACGATTTTGAATCCCTGCCTTCCATGAATGCTTTTGATCAAATATGATTGATATCCAGTGCATCGTTCTACAGAAGAAGTCATTTGTAGCAATATAGCCAATTTGCCCCCTTTTGGCCCGCCCCTCAGCCCCCTGGGCGGGGGTCAGCCCAACCAATTGTACAATTTTGAATCTCTACTACCTAGGCATGCTTCCATTAAAATTTAGTTAAATTCCAATAAGTGGTTAAGAACTAGAACTTTCCCAAAAACTTAAACCAATTCCAAAAGACTTGTGTTTTGGACCAATAATGAGCAAATAGGGTCCAATTTGTTGCTAAGGAACCTCCAAGCAATTGCTGTAACCATATTACAATGTAAAATTAATTAAAAGTTGAATTAAACACCAAAACACAGCTTGCTCAAAAACTTGAACCAAGTGGGACGCCGTGGGTACTGCTATTGCCCCCCTATTCTTCAAATATACGAGCTAATAAAATGTTCTTAAATGAATCAGTGACATCATGAGACCTGAATATTTACCTCTGAAGATCTCAACAAAGTGAAGCAGTGTGTAATCAGAGTTACGTCCAGTCCCGGAGCTGGTGAGCGACCTCACACATTTAATGATCTGCTTGGCATCCTCCGTGACATCTCGGAGCTGGAACAAGTCCTACAACAGACACATAACACAACGACTTAGATCTTAACAGTTACCATAGGCTCTCAGACTAACTTCACTCTGGAAGCGGCTAGCTTCATCCTTGGTACAGCCAGCCATGCCTGTCATGCTTCACTCACTAATAAGACAACCTAGAATGCTAATTTCCAAGAAACGACATGATAATTTGCCTGCACCGAACAAAAGTCCTGTCATCGTTTTGATTTCTGCACCAAATAATTTAAGGTAATGGTGCAATACTAGGAACCCCCTACTATGGTGTAAATATAAACTAACTTTGTTAAGGGTTCATGAGATAAGCTTATAACTACCATAGAATGCACAGACACATGCACAAACATGAACAAACACACGAATGGACTGACAAAGTAATTATTATATTTACCCTCAACTAAATGGGAAAACAGTGATATTTCATTAAATTTAATTTTGAAGTATCTGTATTGAATGACTGATATTTTTGCTGCTGTTGTATTGATTGACTCAAATTTGAAGCCATTGTACTGAATGACCTACTGTTGAAGCTTTTTTACTGAATTATTACTGTATACGGGCGATTTTTGGCTGCAGTTTAATTTTTCGCTTTTTTCACCCGCCCTACTGAGGGTGAATTACCCAGACTAGTTTGAAGCCCCCTACTGATCTCAACATGAGGCCCAGAGGGCCTGTATCGCTCACCTGAATATCTAAGCAATCATGGCAAAATATTCTCCAAATGAGATCCAAGGAAATATGCTAGACCCCAAGGCCAATCCTTATAGCATATCTGTATTAGATTTTTCATGCCCAGCAATTTTATGATGTTTATAGGGTGGGGATCTCAACTGTTTCCAAGCTGTGATTCAGAAACTAGGTCCCTATAGGGTTGTGGCCAGACCCCAGGATCAATTCTAATATCATGACTGCATTTGTCTATTTTTGCCCATCATTTGTATATATAGTTTTATGGTGGGGATCTCGACCGTTTCAAAGTTATGACCCAGGGGTTATTAAGTCTGCAAGGGTAGGGCAGACCCTGGGGTCAATTCTAATATCATGACTGCATTCGTCTCTTTATGCCCAACAATTGTATATATAGTTTTGGGGTGGGGATCTTAACCATTTCGAAGTTATGACCCAGGGGTTAAATCTCCAAGGATGGGGCAGTCCCCAAGGCCATCCTGGAAGAATAAGTGCATTCTCTCTTTATACTCAGCAATTGTATATATGGCTATAGGGTGGGGATCTAAACTGTTTCCAAGCTGGGACTAAGAAACTAGCTAGGTCCCTAAGGGTTCGGTCAGACCCCAGGGTCTATTCTAATATAATGACTGCATTCGTCTCTTTATGCCAAGCATTTGTATATATAGTTTTGGGGTGGGGATCTCAACTGTTTTAAAGTTATGGCCTAGGGACTATGTCTCCAAGGGTGGGGCCAGACCCTAGGGCCATCCTGGAAGCAAATGTGCATTTTTCTCTTTATACTCAGCAATTGTATATATAGTTATATGTTGGGGATCTGAATCATTTCCAAGTAATAAACTTTTTTGGGCCCAACCCCTTAGCCCGGGGGGTCAGCCCCACCATTTGTATAATTTTGAATCCCTGCCTCCAATGAATGCCTCTGACCAAATATCATCGATATCCATGGCATAGTTCTACAGAAGAAGTCCTTTATAGCAATATAGACAAATAACCCTTTTTGACCCCCGCCCCTCAGCTACCTGGGGGGGGGTCAGCCACACCATTTGTACAATTTTGAATCCCTGCCTCCCATGAATGCTTTTGATTAAATATGATTGATATCCAGTTCATACTTCTACAGAAGAAGTCTTTTGTAGCAATATAGCCAATTTGTCCCCTTTTGACCCCATCCCTCAGCCCCCTGGGGGGTCAGCCCAACCATTTGTACAATTTTGAATCTCCACCACCTAGGGATGCTTCCAGTAAAATATGGTTGATATGCATCTCTTAGTTCAAGAGGAGAAGTCGCTTAAAGCAATATAGCCAAATTGCCCCCTTTTTGCCCCGCCCCTCAGCTCCACCATTTGTACAATTTTGAATCCCTACCACCTAGGGATGCTTCCAGTCAAATATGGTTGATATCCATCTCTTAGTTCCAGAGGAGAAGTCGCTTAAAGCAATATAGCCAAATTGCCCCCTTTTTGCCCCCACCCCTCATTCCCCTGGGGGGTCAGCCCCACCATTTGTACAATTTTGAATCTCCACCACCCAGGGATGCTTCCAGTCAAATTTTGTTAAATTCCAATCAGTGGTTAAGAAGAAGAAGTCGTTTAAAGAAATTGTTGACGGACGGACGCCACGGTATGGCATAAGCTCACCTTGGTTCTTCGGACCAGGTGAGCTAATAAGGGCTGAAGAAGACAACCAGGAGTTGGCCGAAAGCTACCCGAACATCTTAAACTTGACTGAGAGTGTGAAAACACTTAATCGCTGCCTCAGTATCAATGACCCGTGAGTAGTATTTAGTTGAGTGACATAGTTAAATGTTGGTTAAATATGAATTTATCAATATAGCAAACATTTGTAAACAACATAATATACAGTTGAACCTCGCAATCTCGAACCCTGATAACTCAAAGACCTCGTTTATCTCTAAGTATTTCTCCGGTCCCGGCCAAATCTCTTCTTTATCTTAGTAAATAAAACTCTGATAATTCGAACCCTGAAAAGTCGAAACACTTGGATACCTCGAAGTAAGATATTGGTTTCAATAGCGTAAATCCAACATCTAAACATCGTCTACTTCAGTGTTCGAATTTCATTTTGTCACTTATTAATTCTTTGATACATATAAAACGCAAAAGTACGACATCTCGCCATTCCATGTTTATGGAGATCTTACGTGAGTAGACTAGCATGATATCGGTAAAAAGAAATTACGATAAAGCTTCCGATTATAAAGTGTGTGGACTGTCAAAACCATGTTGTTCATAGTAACAAATAAATTTCATCAATGTTGATCAACAGTATTCTGTACTTACTGCGAGTCCTTTTAATGATTTGTACACCAAAACAGACGACAGAAAATTGGTCACAAAGCGTGGTCATGCATAAAAGAGTTCCACAGTTAAAATCATAACCTAGGACAGCTTCACGGGTTCATGTTTTTACAGGAGCCAGTATGGCTATGAAAGTCGATCGAGAGAATTAAGAACAATACCATAATTGCTGTTGATTACATCGAGTTGAGGAGGTGTCAGGTGTCACATTTGGCTTTAATGAATCAATGTGTTACAGGTACGATACAATCTGTTTGTGTGTGTTTTCATTTACAGAATCAACTATACGTACACTCCATTACCGTGATTTGTTTTATACTTGCACAATTTCATTTCCGCATTGTATATTACGAGGACGGAGACAGCGGGATAATTCAATTTTTAAATGTAACACTTGACTAGCCAAAAACAACATTTAATCACTAGGCCCGTCCATACTTAATAACGAATTCACAATATGGTCCAACCATTTTGATCAGGTTAAACAAAAGTACATTTTTCGGAAATAACTTACTCTATTTTTGTAAGCGTGTTTATTGTAGAATCACATACCTGTATTTGTTATACTGATTACGTATATCATTCATCGATTGATTATAAGCATTGGCTATTAATAAAATTAACAAATGCTAGTGCTGTCCAAACAGTTTTTTCCACAACCCCGTCGACTTCGAGATAAAGAGGTTCGACTGTAGTATATCTTACGCACTGAATGACCTACCTTTGAAGCACAGTTGTCACACATTGAACCTTTGAAGCTGCCACACCCACTCCTGTCAAAGGTGTGCTCTCCCAGGTAATTCAGGAGCTGGGCACGTCGGCAGTCTGCCACGTTCTCACAATACTGAACCATTTGAAACAGATTATCAATGTGCACTTTCTTCGACTCGTAGGTTGCATTTTTGTCCACTGAAAACATAGATTCATTTTTTTGGTCAGATTCAATTTGAATTTATTTAATTTAAGTTTATACAAATACATATCTAAGGTATTCTATATATATCTCCTGGACCTCCAGAGTTAGGATGCATAATTTGTTGTAAATTGTTAGTTCATTACTGTATTGCAAATGTATTAAATCTTGTGTGTTGATGTTGTTTATATATACTTTTTATTTTTTATGTATTCTAGTAGTAGATCTAGATGATGTGAATTTATAATGGGAAGGCATGTGTTTAAATCACAAGATCAATTTAATTTTAAGTAGAGTATGTCATTAATTGATTACCATGTGATTAGTTGCATAAGGCTAGAGATGAGGTCATCATACTAATTATTTATAGATATCACGTGACCATTAATGACCAATGGTCAGTTTGTTAGGTGATTCTATAAGCATCAGTTTACACAGAGATTGTGGAGGCTGGCGGTAATTTTCATCTCAATCTTGACGACCCTCCCTTCAGCCACTTTCATCTCCATGTAGAGGACAATGTGTTTATGTAATTATATGTCAGCTATTATCATACTCTATTGTCATTAATTTTTGTATATCCATGGTAATCAAAGACAATTGTTTCAGATTACCATATAATGTGTGCATCTTTGCTCATTTTTTACTTAAGTTTTATAATCCTACATGTTATCATTTATACCGTCTAACCTGCTTGTCATTCACAGGTTCAGTGGTATACTATAGGTATTTAGTTATGATCCATGTGTTTCACTTAGTCAATTCATTCAGAATTCGATTTAATATCACGAGTTCTTGTATAATATGTTTGGTACCCATTACATCTTGGATAAGGTCCCTAAATGTCAAGTTAATAGTATACGTATACCAGAGTAAACTATTGTTTGCCTAAGTAGTATTGTTTTAATGTGTTATACTCCCAATTTGATCATTCATGCCGTCTTACCTGCTGTTATCTTCACAGGTTCAGTGGCAAAGCTATTTCCTTCAAAGGCCCTAAGTCTTGGTTATTTTGTTTATACTCATGATCATGACTTTTGAGATGCTGTTACTCAATGTCAACTTAGTGGTTTACCAGTTTAATACTTAGTGTGCCTGTTACTGTACATTCGTTTAGTATTATATACTCGCAGATCTAATCAGCCGTCTAGCCTGCTGTTTACATCACAGGTTCAGTGGCGTTTTCTGCCCTTCAGATCCACGGTTTTCACCCGGGTCAATTTTTATAGAGCATATATACCTACCTGCTGTCTTCACCACAGGTTCCATTGAGCTAATATGGTTGGTAGCTAGCCCGGCTTTCTTTCCTGTGTATATCACAGGTTCAGTGCCAAATTGTTTCAAAGCTACTAGCTCTACCTGATGTTTTTATGTGCAGTGTCAGTGTCATCAGTTCAATTATTTCATTCTGTCAAACCTGAGGTGGCATCACTTGGGTCTATTTTACATTCCTATTCAGTAGCCTCCATCTGATAGACCTGCTGTTCAACCCACAGGTCCAGAAGTAACATTTATACATCCATATCCCAGATCAGATCCAAGTTTCAATTAATTAAGTTTTCCTGAAGGGGATTGATCTTAAGCTTGCATATTACAGCGATGTTTTATCGCATATACAGTTTCCCAACAAGCTTTTTATATTTATACTTACAGTAACTTACGATTCAAGTTGTTCTGGTTATTGACTTAAATTGATTAGAATAATTACATACATTTGTAGTAAGATGTTTGTATTATTGTATTAATATTTTATTCAATTTTCTGAAGCTTTCTTATGTCATGTTTAACGATGATATGGAACCCAGAAGGATTTCACTCAATATTTTACACAAGGAAATGTACTTAACACTTATGTGGCTACATCTGAATACTAAATAGATGATGACATGATACATGTTTCAATATCATTACAAATGTTTTGGCTATACTGTATGTTTGTTTCTAAACCTTTAATACTTATTGTATTAAGTAACCAATATTAATCTATATATATATATACCTGTCAGGCTCACCTGCCCACAGGTACTTCATACAACCATAGACATACTGGGCTTCCTCCAGTGTCCATGTCTACTATGAAAATTTCATTCATATAGAAACTGTCTTTCTAGAATCGAAACAAACATGCAGAGTAGCCCCTAAGATTGCCAAAGAGTATAACTTTTTTAGTAAATATATATATAGTAGCTTTTGTAGTTGAAACAAATGAAACGAACAATACAATCTTGATCTTACTTCGACTTTGTGTTATTTGTATAAACATACAACAATATCATCCCTAATGTGGAAATCAGTGAACATACAATACTGCATTACACGTAAATTTCACTATTTACAAGAGCAGTTTTCATGCTTGCAGTGGAGCTATGCATATTTATAAGTAATATGGCTTTACATGTACTGCTGTCCATAAAAGCTAGCATTTTTTGTACCAATGAAAGAGTTCTGAAAAATAAAGTGCCAATGAGCGTTTCTCAACATTTTCTTCAGGTTGGTAAGTATGGATTATGAGAAGTTCTTTTTACACAACCAATATAATTTTCTATGTGACGTTTCGATGACTAACTACGATATGTACGATATGTACACTGTCTCCTTCATCAGACAAATGACCAATGAAGCGTATGCACACAAAGGTGTAAAATGTGTACGAGCTGTCCATAAAATCGCTGTCCATTTCCGCTACGCTGGAAACGTATGTACATTAATAGCTGCTATATATGTACCGAAATGACTCAATTCAGCTACGCTTTATTAACACTTGGTCATAGATGTGCGAGAGTCTTTGAATGAGTGTTTGATGTCAAAGAGCAGGTGAAACTATAAACGGAATGTTAGGATCACTACCAGGTTTTTTCTTTGCTTCCAACAGGTAGATAAAAATGCAGATAGGTACTCCAGGATCCCATGAGATGCGTGCGCATATCATCTGTCATAGTGTGAAAAATTATCAGAGTGGTTGTACATAAAAAAATTACTCAATCTATTCATTCGTTTTCTATAGCGTGTAACACTTTAATATCACTCAATAGTGATGGGATTTGATTGAAAATCATCTATGACATGTTTTACCGAGTTCTTCTGTGGTTTTAATAAGCCTGACCTCGTATATTTTGGTGCTGTACCCCCGAGGGGGTCAGTTTTGACCACTGACGTTTTGGCGTGTGTAGATGGCCGCCATCTTAGAAAATTGTAAAAAATCCAGGATCGTTTAAGATTTCGACTTTGTGGGCCAAATTTTGAACAATATGAGACCAGACCTGACAAACCTTCGAGAAAGGACAGATCCAAGGACATGGACAAGGTAAAAAAAACTGTGTTTGAGTTAAAATTGCGAAAAATTTAAGCCTGCATAGATAACCCTTTATATGGTATACTCACATTCTAAAATGCGTCGGATACGTTTGACATCCTGATAGTTATAGTACAGGAGACAATAGGCCAGCTGTCCGTCTCTCCCGGCCCGGCCCGCCTCCTGGTAGTACCCTTCCATAGATTTAGGTAGTGAGTAGTGAATCACAAAACGCACATCTGCCTTGTCTATTCCCATACCGAAGGCTATAGTGGCGCAGATCACCTTGAAACACAACAGACAAGCACTACAGACCATAATCTCTATGACACATTCACAGACATAAGAACACATAGACAAATACTCAAAATCACATTTTTGAGGTTGAAATATATTAAATTTTATCATTCAGAACAGAAAATTACATTGTAGAGTTGAAAGAATGACTTGGATATATGACCTTCCAGACCCCACCTTACACAGTTTACTGGTCACGGTAGCGTTCAGTTCATATCTTACACATGCTCCCATATAGCCCCTACCTTGCAAAAATGGTACTGTCCAGACCCTACCTTGAAAGTGGTACTGCTAGGCACCTTCTGTGCACATGGTACTTTCGAGCCTCTATTTTACACATTTTGCTGTTGAATCCCTACCTTATACATGCTACCTTAAAGCCCCTACCTAACTGTTAACTAGGTCCTAACATATAGTGTTGAGCTCTACCTTACTGCTACATTATTATTGAGTCCCTAAGGAACAAAAACATCCATTGAGCTCTTACCTTACAAATGCTTCTATTTAGCCTTCTAAGTTCTACAAATGGTGTCATTGAGCCCTTCCTTATACATGGTTCTGCTACGTCCTGCCTTAAAATTGAGCACCTCCCTTGCACATGTTGCCATTGAGCCCCTACTGTAGTACAAACTTTCTTTGAGACCCTACCTTACACTCTACTATTAAGCCCCTACCTTACACATGCCACCATTGAGCCCCTACCTTACACACTCTACTATTAAGCCCTACCTTACACATGCTATCATTGAGCCCCTACTGTAGTACAAACTTTCTTAGAGCCCCTACCTTACACACTCTACTATTAAGCCCCTACATTACACATGCCACTATTGAGCCCCTACTGTAGTACAAACTTTCTTTAAGCCTCTACCTTACACACTCTACTATTAAGCCCCTACCTTACACATGCTAGCATTGAGCCTCTACTGTAGTACAAACTTTCTTTGAGCCCTACCTTACACACTCTACTATTAAGCCCATACCTTACACATGCCACCATTCAGCCCCTACTGTAGTACAAACTTTCTTTGAGCCCCTACCTTACACTCTACTATTAAGCCCATACCTTACACATGCTAGCATTGAGCCCCTACTGTAGTAAAAACTTTCTTTGAGCCCCTACCTTACACACTCTACTATTAAGCCCATACCTTACACATGCTATCATTGAGCCCCTACTGTAGTACAAACTTTCTTTGAGCCCATACCTTACATACTCTACTATTAAGCCCCTACCTGACACATGCCACCATTGAGCCCCTACTGTAGTACAAACTTTCTTTGAGCCCCTACCTTACACATGACACCATTAAGCCCCTACCTTACACACTCTACTATTAAGCCCCTACCTTACACATGCTATCATTGAACTCCTACTGTAGTACAAATTTAATTTGAGCCCCTACCTTACACTCTTCTATTAAGCCCATACCTTACACATGCTATCATTGAGCCCCTACGTACTGTAGTACAAACTTTCTTTGAGCCCTACCTTACACACTCTACTATTAAGCCCATACCTTACACATGCTATCATTGAGCCCCTACTGTAGTACAAACTTCTTTTGTTTTCTTACCTTACACACTCTACTATTAAGCCCCTACCTTACACACTCTACTATTAAGCCCCTACCTTACACATGCAACCATTGAGCCCCTACTGTAGTACAAACTTTCTTTGAGCCCCTACCTTACACATGTTGCCATTGAGCCCCTTCTGTAGTACAAACTTATTTTGAGCCCATACCTTACACACTCTACTATTAAGCCCCTACCTTACACACTCTACTATTAATATTAAGCCCATACTTTACACATGTTGCCATTGAGCCATTTCTCCTGTATGCTGATCCTCTCACCATCCCCAAGGCCAGCGTGGTAGGACACAGCCTGGATGCCAGCCTTACCGAGATCTTGAGCTGTGCTGTCACACTCCTTTCTGTAACATCATGTAAAATCAGTGATTTTCTCACACATTTTATCTGTGATGACTAGAGGGCCTAGTCTTTAGAAAGAGAGTAAAACTAGAACACTGACAGGTCAGCAAGGACACAACCATGTGCCAGACCGACCCCCTGGGCCCTTAAAGGTATATTTTTAGTAACATTAACCTTGACCTTAAAACTTGTTTAACCCCTTATTGCACATTTACACAGTGTATCACCATGTCAAATTTCAGAAAGATTAGTATTTCAGTTTGAAAGATAATTTCCAGAAATGAAAATTTGGACGGACGGACGGATGGTCGGACAGACACTGTGATTACTATGACAGACATCAGAGCTGTGGAGCCCTAATGAGCACAGGATCCCAAAATTCATCCAATATACAGAAAGTTCTTATTTCTGTTCAGCTAATTAATGGGAAAGCTGTTTATCAAGCATGGACTAATCATTAATTATTTTTTTACTCAAACAAAGGTTGACATGATATTGCTATTAAACCTAGTTTAATAGGACTAAATTTCTAATCTGCAGCAAGGTCCCTAAAACATTTGGAAAACTCCAGACAGCAGTACACACTAACCTAGACATGCAGAACACAAAGCCATTATTCTCACACTAACCTGGACAGACAGTACACAATGCCACACTTCTCACACTAGCCTGGGCAGACAGTACACAATGCCACACTTCCCACACTAACCTGGACAGACAGTATACAATGCCACACTTCTTACACTAACCTGGACAGACAGTATACAATGCCACACTTCTCACACTAACTTGGACAGACAGCACACAATGCCACACTTCTCACACTAACCTGGACAGACAGTATACAACGCCACACTTCTCACACTAACCTGGACACACAGTATACAATGCCACACTTCCCACACTAACTTGGACAGACAGTACTCAATGCCACACTTCTCACACTAACTTGGACAGACAGTACTCAATGCCACACTTCTCACACTAAACTGGACAGACAGTAAACAATACCACACTTCTCACACTAACCTGGACAGACAATACACAATGCCACACTTCTCACACAAACCTGGACAGACAGTATACAACGCCACACTTCTCACACTAACCTGGACAGACAGTACACAATGCCACATTTCCCAGAGAACCGCTCCTTGATCAGTTTAATGATGTCAGCTGTCAGTGTAGAGGGCTTCTTAGGTTCCACTGACAGACGAAGGTTAGGCCGATTGAAACTTTGCACAAACCTGAATCATTCAAGAAGTTTTTTATGAGCTATGCTATAAAAGAAGTACAATTATTTTCTGTTATCCTTAAATTAAAGTTCTTTTAGTATAAGCATGTTAATGTTTATTCCAGCTTGCAAATTGTTGCCTTAATTGTCCTACAGCTGATCATCTTTAAGAGCAACTCACTCCAGTAGAGAGAGAACCTCACTACATGTAATTTCCTGTTAATGCAGTCCACTAATGGGGATATTTAAAGGTAGATAGAACATGTTAAAGGAAATGAAATCAAACAAATGAAAAGGTAAAAGACAAACGTCAACTTGAAAAGCATAAGTGGCTATTGTTAGTTACATCTTTTTGAACAGACCAACAGTTTTCAGGTAGGTAAGAATTGCAGAGATAATGTTTTGAGAAAATTTATTTTTAAGATTTGTTAAAATTATGACCATTTCCTGTGTAATTATAAGCTGAAGGTAAATACAATCTAATAACAAGTCTTTTACAGTAAACGGTTCATGAAATGCTATGCATTGAGGTTTGTCTTCACACTTCAGTAAATAAGAATGGGTTATGTATATGTATGAATCATCTGTCATGGGGAGGGGAAGGACAACCTTGTCTTAGTAGTTTTTCTCTATATCGGAAGCTGGCACTCTGAAAATGAAAACAGTACTAGTATTATTATATCTAGATCATCATTGGTGACCTTGAGATTTGCGATACACACCATTTAGGGTCCTTCATCTTGAGTTGGTGAATGATGTCCTTTCTGACCCTGGGAGTGGCTGTAGCGGTCACAGCCATCATCGGGACCTCAGGGTACCGTTCACGTAGGATGTTCAGCTTCTTGTAATCTGGTCGGAAGTCATGACCCCACTGAAAACATAGTAATTGGTCACATCCAAATTCATGTTAGTAATTTCCTGTGCTGTGACATGTTTGTACTTAGATATGTAACAACAACTGTGCCTGAAAAGCATCAAATTTTGGAAGTGTCTGCTACTTTATTTATATCTGGAAAGTTATTGCCTGAAAATTCATGGAGTATGATATGTATTTTTAAAATTCCCTTTGGAGAAAATAGGAAATTTCTGTATGGATGAGCCACTACAGAGAAAGTTTGATTCCATACCTGGCTGACACAGTGAGCTTCGTCGATGACAAATCGGGACAGGATCCTTCTTCGGTACATGTTGTCTAAACAGTTGTTCAGCTTGTCACTGGCCGATATCTACACATAGTTAAACACATATATGAGTAAGGGTATACTTGTCACTAGCCAATATCTACACATTGTTTAACACATATATGAGTAAGGGTATACTTGTCACTGGCCGATATCTACCCATAGTTAAACACTTATATGAGTAAGGGTATACTTGTCACTGGCCGATCTCTACACATAGTTAAACACATATATGAGTAAGGGCATACTTGTCACTAGCCGATATCTACACATATTTAAACACATATATGAGTAAGGGTATACTTGACACTAGCCGATATCTACACATAGTTAAACACATATAGGAGTAAGGGTATACTTGTCACTGGCCGATATCTACCCATAGTTAAACACTTATATGAGTAAGGGTATACTTGTCACTGGCCAATATCTACACATAGTTAAACACATATATGAGTAAGGGCATACTTGTCACTAGCCGATATCTACACATATTTAAACACATATATGAGTAAGGGTATACTTGCCACTGGCCGATATCTACACATAGTTAAACACATGTATGAGTAAGGGCATACTTGTCACTAGCCGATATCTACACATAGTTAAAAACATATATGAGTAAGGGCATACTTGTCACTATCCGATATCTACACATAGTAAAACACATATATGAGTAAGGGTATACTTGTCACTAGTCGATATCTACACATAGTTAAACACATATATGAGTAAGGGGATACTTGTCACTGGCCGATATCTACACATAGTTAAACGCATATATGAGTAAGGGTATACTTGTCACTGGCCAATATCTACACACAGTTAAACACATATATGAGTAAGGGTATACTTGCCACTGGCCGATATCTACACATAGTTAAACACGTATATGAGTGAGGGTAGACTTTTCACTGGCCGATATCTACACATAGTTAAACACGTATATGAGTGAGGGTAGACTTTTCACTGGCCGATATCTACACATAGTTAAACACGTATATGAGTGAGGGTAGACTTTTCACTGGCCGATATCTACACATAGTTAAACACGTATATGAGTGAGGGTAGACTTTTCACTGGCCGATATCTACACATAGTTAAACACGTATATGAGTGAGGGTAGACTTTTCACTGGCCGATATCTACACATAGTTAAACACATGTATGAGTAAGGGCATACTTGTCACTAGCCGATATCTACACATATTTAAACACATATATGAGTAAGGGTATACTTGCCACTGGCCGATATCTACACATAGTTAAACACATGTATGAGTAAGGGCATACTTGTCACTAGCCGATATCTACACATAGTAAAACACATATATGAGTAAGGGTATACTTGTCACTAGTCGATATCTACACATAGTTAAACACATATATGAGTAAGGGTATACTTGACACTAGCCGATATCTACACATAGTTAAACACATATAGGAGTAAGGGTATACTTGTCACTGGCCGATATCTACCCATAGTTAAACACTTATATGAGTAAGGGTATACTTGTCACTGGCCAATATCTACACATAGTTAAACACATATATGAGTAAGGGGATACTTGTCACTGGCCGATATCTACACATAGATAAACACATATATGAGTAAGGGTATACTTGTCCCTGGCCGATATCTACACATAGTTAAACACATATATGAGTAAGGGTATACTTGTCACTAGCCGATATCTACACATAATTAAACACATATATGAGTAAGGGTATAATGTTTAAAATTATTGTTAAATGCATCACACAACTCCTTTAATACATTATACAATATTTGTTTGCTGCTGTTGACCCTACAGCTACCAACGATCACAACTGACATATATAATACTGTTTTTATATGTGTGTCAGAATTATTATATCAAATGAAGAAGGATTCACAGCTAGGGACAGTAAAAAGTTGTTACCTTGCATTAAATGTTAGCCTTCCTTTTTTGGCGTGTGTCTACCATATAACTTAAAAAAATGACAAAAAAAGGTTGGTAATTTGTAAGCCTACCTTTTCTGGGTTGAGCCTATCAGTTTTAAGTGGCAGAGATTTTGAGGTTAGTAACTTGTTAGCCTACCTTTTCTGGGGTGACATAGAGGAGAGTGATCTCCGGCTTCCTGTAGGACAGTTTGGTGTAAATAAAGTCAGCCTGTGTTTTGTTCTGATCAGAGGACAGCTGGGCTGCTGGGATCTACAAAGTGTAAGTCAATATTTTAAATTATTTTTAAGACTGAAACCACATGTTAACTACAAATTTATTCTTGGAATAAATTGTGTCCTCTTTCATACTTTCACAAATTTAAAATATGTATATCTGGAATTTAAAAAACTGAATTGATAAGAACATGCAAATTCCACAAAATGTTCTCCTTGACTGAATGTTTTTAACCGACATCATTGACTAAAGATCCTTTGTGAATAAAGGGAGAAATTTGTGAAATATACAGACACGCTTTTTACAACATAAAATATTTGGTATCATTTTGTGAATTAAGAAAAAATAATAAATCACTGCCATTAAGTTAACTTACATCCTCCATTTTAAAAGTTGGTGAAATTTACAAGTTAATGATTATAACATTAAAAACTAAGATTAATACTTCACACTTACCATCAATGAATTAAGTCTCTGGACCTGATCCTGTATGAGAGCTCGGAGGGGAGAAACAATGATGGACACCCCCCCAGACACAAGGGCTGGCAGTTGGTAACACAGACTCTTTCCTCCACCTATCAAATACATACCAGTGTATATCAACAGTCATAGGCAATGTCAAAAATAGATTTCATATAAAACAATAAACAAAAACCATGTTTCCCCTATTGAGCCCCACCCCTCAGGCCCCTGGGTGGCCAGACCCACGGTTTATACAAAATTGGTTCCCCTTCAGACCAAATATGGAACAAATCCTTTCATTCCTACAGAAGAAGAAGGTTTTTGAAGAATTTGATATTTCCCTTCGGGCCCGCCCCTCAGCCCCCAAGGATGCTTCTGACCAAATATGGAAAAAATCCTTTCAATCCTACAGAAGAAGAAGGATTTTAAATAATTTGCTATGTTTCCCCTATTGGGCCCCGCCCCTCAGCCCCCAGGGGAGCCAGAGCCACGGTTTATACAAAATTTGTTTCCCTTCACGGAAGGATGCTTCAGACCAAATATGGAACAAATCCTTTCATTCCTACAGAGGAAGAAGGATTTTAAAGAATTTGCTATATTTCCCCTATTGGGCCCCGTCCCCCAGCCCCCAGGGGTGCCAGACCCACCAGTTATACAAAATTTGTTCCCCTTTTCCCAAGGATGCTTCTGACTAAATTTGGTCAAAATCTGCTCAGTTGTTCATGACTAGTAGCATCTTTTAGGAAAAGTTGACAGACGACGGATGCCGCGCCATGGCATAAGCTCACTGGTCCCTTGGACCAGGTGAGCTAAAAAGGAAAGATAAATTGAGCAAAGCAGTTTCAGTCATGTTTCATGCACTTTCTCCCTAATTGGAAATGTGAAATGAGGGAGATCTCCTTCATTGTTGGTTTCAGAGGTTGACATCTATGAAATGTGTAAATTTGTACATTTAGCATTTTTCAAAGAATTTTATCAATCAAATGGATAGGTAATTATGATCTTGTTACTTGTGAACATACAACCACACTCTGCTATGGATCACACTTTGTTTGTTTGAAAACTAAAATCTTGATATAATGCCCCTCGTTTATTTATAAAGTAAAATCTTGATATAATGCCCCTTGTTTCATTTACCACCCCACTTACCGCCAACATATTTCAAGGTCTCTTTTCTTTTTAACCTTCAATTTATTGCCAAACCCCTTCATGATGCCAAGATCTCTCTCAACAAATGGTGGCAGTACATCAAAGTTTTATTATACATATTATATATAACTGTACACAATTATTTACTGTATAAATAACTTATGGGCTGGACGGCTTACAGAAATAAAAGAACACTGAACATTAAGTAGCCCTGTGTTCAGTAAATACCTGTAGGCATGAGGATGAAGCAGTCATTCCCCAAAAGAGAAGCATTAATTGCCTGAAGCTGATGGTGCCGGAAGCTACGCAGACCAAACACCGAGGTAAATGCTTTCATCATCTCCTTGCTATGTGAAAACTCGTATCCATCGAATCGCTTGTTGGCATCTTCAGGCTGCTTTTGACAACTGCTCGGCTCGGATGCTGTCAGAATGCAGAGAGTGATTGTTTATATAAAATCAGAACCTCCTCGTTTGAAAGTCATCCCCTGTGACTTTTACTATAGTACATCAATCTATGAGGTTTGTTGTTTATAGGTAGATGGACAGATAATAAACACTCTAACACTGTCAGTTTTAATCTTTCAACTCTTTGGCAGAATTGTTATCTACTTCATCATCATAAGGTGTACAGATATGATGTTATGAAGTACAGGTATGAGGGTTAAATTTTTTGCAGTTTAATTTCCAACTGTAACTATTTGATTTTAAAGAAAGAAACATTTTCTTTTTTCATACATAATTTCCATCAATGCACATATCCCTGTGCCATGCCCCCTGTGCATCAATGTGTACAAATTGTCCTGATATGAAATAAACTGAAGAATCTTAGTATCACTTTTAAGTATTTTAACTGTTTAATCTCAAAAGAACGTTTATATGGATGAAGAGTTTCAAGATGCTGTGAAATATTTTCACATTTGTAATCAATTTGAGCTATATCTGGACACCAGCAACTGACCAAGTCCACTGTCACTATATATATAATTAGTGCATTTAATTACTTCCTCCTTCTACAGAGACACAAAAGACCTTATACCACCTAAAGTTCTTCTCTAAGTATACATGAATTAAGCTGCAGTTCACTAAGTGTTAAAAACCATCTGGAGCAACTTCTATCAAAAGTGTGCAATGATAAAAAACTATAATATGTTTTACCTGGGTAATCGGAAGATTGAAAACTTCTGTTTCCACTCCGAGCTGCATTACTAGCACCTGTATCTGTGAATGATGAAGGTAGTGATCCAAATAATGAGTACAAATGATGATGACTTAATGTCTTGAAAACTATGGTCAACATGATCAGATATCCTTTAAGAATAATTCGTATTTTCTGTATAACATTTTGAATACTGAAAATATCTTTAAACTTTATAATGAACCTCATCTGCTCTACTATTGAAATATCTAAATAATACCCAAACCTTTAATCAAATCTGCCATATTGGAATATGAATGAGATAGTATGGTGTTTAAGAGGCAAACATTGTTCGAGTTAAGGACAATGCCTGACATGACAATATCAGCATCTGATCTTCGTCAAAATATGCCTGAATAAAGAACTGTGAAGTGCATTCAAGCATACAACATACTTTTGAATGGCTCTCCTCAATAATGATTTTAGAAAAAAAAAAAAAAAAAAATCTCACAAACTGTCAGTGATTTCATGTAACATTTGTACTTCATAACTCGTACAAACTACCTGTCTGTTGTGTCCGTCTAGGAGTATGGTTAATAGATGGCATATCAGATTCTTCATTTTCTTCCTCATCAAATTCATAGTCATCGATGTCAATAAACATGTCATTGCCCATGTCATCATGGAGAGAGCCCTGTGCTGTGACGGAGGTTTCAATGTGACCTGGCCTCTTTTCGGAGCTAGGTCCCTCATGCTGTGCGATCTTGTAATTGAAGTCAAAGTTAGATGTGACTACATCAGAGCCTCTTGTGAAGTTAGTGTCTGCATGACTGGAGCTGTTCCCAACAGCTAGACTCCTACTCAGGCTCAGCACAGGAGGAGAGGTCACCCCTGTGACTGGGGAATTCCTACTGAACGAAACAGGAGAACCCACAGACTTGTTACTAAAGCTAGCCATAAATTTAGCGTGGGACTGTGTTAGTTTGGCATCATCCTCGAAGAAGCTTTCGCCACAAGGTATAGGTGAGCCAAAAGCATTAACTGAACTGCTTGACATCCTTTTAACACTCTTGTCCATGAGCCCACTGGCTTCACCTCTTGGCATTGCAGAATCCAGCCCTTGAAGTCGGAGGGGTGTAGAGGTACTAGCAGGTGATAGGTTTCTGTATGGAAGTGGCCGTGAGGAAATGTTCGACTGGGGAAGGCCCCCGTCTGCAAACTTCTGTTGGACAGATGTATTCTCCAGTGGAGAGGAGAAGCAATCGGCCTTTAATTTTATGCTTTTCCTGCAATGATAATACATTTGTATTTGAATATGAACTGTTGGAATTTTGGCCCTTCATATCTATCTTATAATTTGAAAATGTCTGTGCAGTGTGCTGATTTCACTATCCAATTTAATATTTTTACTTTATACATTATTAAGATATTTTTCCTTCATTTTGACCTTTTGTGCATAACACTTCTTTCTGCACAAAGGCAAAAATGTCAAAAGAAAACAATGGGCACACATTTTCAGTGTTACATTGTCTGGAAAATATTTTATTTTATTTTGACAAATATGTTCACTGTGTCACATTTTCCTCTTGCCAACACTATATGATGTATCAGAGTAGTCTACCCTTTATACTTTTATAGTGACCCGAGATGGCTCTGGCTGTTACCTGAATTTGAGAAGTTTCTGCAGCCGCTCATAGTTCTGCCAGGCAATGACCATGAGATCATCCGTGCTGATCTTAGAAATGATGTCACAAGTCTCATCCATGATACGCAGTAACACGGTCCTGAGCTCCACAACATCTTCACCACTCAGCTACAAAACACAAGAAGAGGCCCCTAAGACCTGAATCATTCACTTATTTCAATTTGTTTTCAAACTCTTTTTCAGAATTTTATGCAAATACTTGATAAATGTAGGTGATATCCAGGATCTTGAGTGAAATGCAAATCCAAATATGGTTGTTTTAATATGATCTTCATACACTTTCAGCCACAGGTGCTGGAAATACTAATATGGTGTGTATATGGTATATATTAATGCACAACATATTAGCGTGTCCAGCACCTGTGGTTTCAGCTTTGCAATTGATAGCCCTCAATCTGTGTATCTCCTTGTTATCAATTATCTCCAGGCGTATCACATATATATGATGTCACTTTTCATGATGTCATTTGTGATTGGTTAAGTCAAAACTTAAAGACAACTTCAGACTTGAGACAGTTTCATAACCTTGGGACCTGATCACCTCCTAAACTCCTGGTAGTCCAACATTTGAGAACATGAAATCCCACATAGCAGGAATCTTTATACACCCGTCATTGAAAGATCATAATATATATTGCTGAAATGTAGGTACTTTTCATTCCTCTGTCCTCTTCTTGAACAAACACATGTACATGTACCAAGGAGATCATGTAAAACAAGTAACAGCATCTTCTATGAGGGACTTGTTCTTTGCAAGATTTCCCGATCTATCTTAAACATTGGAGCATGCACAAATAATGGACAAAGGAGATCATGCTATTCCATTATATTCTTACATAGATTTTAGAAATAGCAGTAACAAAAATTGTTCACAGACAGACTGACTGAAAGATGGTTTGGTTTGGTTTGTTTGTGTTTTACATCCTATTAACAGCTATGGTCATTTTAGGACGTGCCAGGTTTTGGTGGTCGAGGAAAGCTGGAGTTCCCGGAGAAAAAACACCGACCTACGGCCAGTACCTGGAGACTGCCCCACGTAGGTCTCGAACCCGCGACTCAGTGGTGGAGGGCTAGTGGTGGTGGCAGAATGTTAGACGACTTAACCACTTGGCCACCAGGCCTCAGATGATGAACCAGGGAGGAAAACTGATGGTGCTGAAAATATCATTAAACATTCATTATGATGCTGAGCACTTTCCTATTAGTCACACAGTTCTTACCTGTCCTGCTGGCTTCTTCAGTAATGGGTGTAGCAAAGGGTCGATCTTCTCATTTTCTTTATCACCTGGCATAGGGCTATCTGTAAACCAAACTTCAGTCATGATCATGTGAAGACACCATAAAGCAATATCATTTAAGGTAAAGAGTACCACTAGTACTGCATCAGTTGTAATCGCTAAGAAGAGTTCCACTCAAAGTTTTTAAAATTATATTTGGAGTATTCTCCCTTGCCCCTGTCAATTTTTCATTGGTTTTGCAGGCCATAACTATGACATTCATTCTGATGATATGCCATTACAATTCCTAGGTAGCAACATTGATAAAGCATTGGCTTTGTAAATGTAAAGGTCTTGAGTTCGACCCCTGCTGTTTTTGTTCTTACTTTTTGTGTTTCTATTTTCAAACACTCAAATATCAAACAACTATAATTCACTACGCATCACACTGTGTGATTTTTAAAAAAAAAATCTTTTGAAAAAGGCGTAAACAAAATGTTCACAATAGTGGCAATATGGTAATACATATTGGTACCCTTAATCTTAAAATATATTTTGCATATTGATTCCAGCTGATGATGGGTTGGTAGTTTGGGGGCCCTCCTTTTATAGTCTACGAACAAGAGCGGGGTGGTGAGGACATCTCAATATATCAGTAATTCCTTAACCCGACAACACAGGGTGGGAGAGTGGGGTTCTTTACCTGGTATCTTACAACATCTCGTTTAATATCCTACGAACAAGAATGGGAATTTGGGGCTCTGCGCCTTATATCCTAAGGAATGGTTAGTAAGGTTGTTGACATCTCACATGATATCCTATAAACAAGGGTCCCCGGGGGGAGGGGACTCATTTACTTTTTAACTTTATTTATTTTGCAACAATTATAAAACAAGTTATTTCAATTTATATTAATCACTCTTGTTGGCCCGGATGTTAGCGTGTGTGGGGTCTTAGTGTGGGAGGAAACAGGAGTACCCAGAGAAAACACACCTGGTCAGGCTGGTGACCCTATACCTTTTCATCAAGTCGATCAGGGAATCAAACTCCAGTCACCTTGGTGAACTGCGAGTGCCTTATCTACTGCGCCACCGACCACCCAGGGGACTTCTCAATACCTGGAATCCTACAAACGGGAGAAGGGGGAGGGGAACTCCTTTATACCTGGTATTCTACAAACAGGAGTGGAAGGGGGAGTCCTTACCTGTAATAGGTCTATCTGATGTCGTCGGAACAGATGGAAATGTCTCAGTTCGTCGTCGCTTTAGTTGTTGCATCATGCTGCCATCACCATTCAAATCTGTCAGATCTGGCTCCTGAACAAAAAATACAGGCAAGTTTTATTTTAGCAAAAGACATTTTATATCAGAGAACAAAGTAAAACAAATTATGTATACATGAACTCAAAATGTTTTAAGGGATAATGAAAGCATTGACCCTTTTGGAAATGACAAATTGTACCTGTTCCTGAAATGTCTTGCTTTTCCTTGATTCAGCACTGTCGTTTAGACCATCTTTACCCCTGAAATGCTTGCTCTGAAACAACCAAACATCCATGTAAACTATTGTAAGAAGAAACACTACTTACTTTGTGCCAAATTTGTATATCAGTTAGAAACAAACTGTAAAGATTTTTAAGTAGATGTTTATGCTTGAACCATCCACAAGTGATTTTCAACAAACGAACTGATTCATCATCTGTTGAAGGACATGGTCAATGTAAAATGTGGAAATATCTGACAAAAACACTGCTTTATGTAGCAATCAGCGTTTATAAAATGTAGTTATGGGGCAGTAAGCCTGTACCAGGTAATAAGTTCACCCATTTGTATTGCAGTTCGATAGAAACGCTAACAACGCTATTTCAGTTTCCTGCAATAATTAATCCAACACCTATTGCGTCTTTGTGTCAAAAATTGCATTTACCCAAATGACTTATTGTAGTAAACATGATAAGATATAAAACATATATGACCTAGAGCGGCTTTTCACATAAAAAGCTTTACTCAAATTTCATGACAAATACTATCCATATAGATTCAAACAAATTTATGGTAGAAAAACTCCCAGATGTTCTACCAGGAACTGTGGATGTATGCATGTACAACAACAAATACAATGGGGTTAAATTCTACTTACACGCTTGAGAGACAAAATGGCCTTTGGTTTTAAAATTGGAGACACTGAAACAAGAAACATGACCTTAGAAAATATCTATAAAGACATTTTACTTTGATATTTGAGATACATACACGATAGAGCTGCATGAGGTGCTTTATAGTAATGACTGTTTTTTCGCGATAAATTTTACAACAGCCAGTTCCTGAATTAATTCAAACATACATAGCAATATTTTTATAGAGATTGGGAAGATATTCCTCATTATTGAAATATGAAGCACCTTTTTTTTGCTTTGGGAAGCATCCTATATTTGGCAGTAAAACTAGGCAAAAATAATCACTGAATGAAACACACACCTGTGAAAATTCAAAATGAGTAATAACGCCATTCTTAAGGTTATTGTACAGTCAAGCATTTGAATTTTTCCGTAAAGACTAAGGAATGCTATACAACATACTTCCGAGTCATTACATTTTTTTCCCCCCAAATGTCAATTTTATTCCCCCATCAAATAGTAGAAGGCTCCCGGGGTTGGGGAGACCCAGGGTCATGCAGCTTCTTTAATTAACCATTTAGTGTCCTCATGCAAGAGGGCTCTCATTCATCCATGTACCATATACAAATTATATATAAGTGTGTATATAGGTACAGTATATACATGTTTAAGTTCAACATTATATACAAGTAGTATTTGTACCATTTTGAATCTCCGCCATGCACCTTGATAACCATCTCTTATATATAATGTTAGTTCCAGAAAAGAAGTCGCTCAAGAAATATAGCCAAATAACCCTTTTTGGCCCCACCATTTGTACAAGCTTGAAACCGCACCTCCCATGAATGCTTTCAACCAAATGTGATTGATATTCAGTGCACAGTTCCAAATTGACCCCTTTTGGCCCCGCCCCTCAGCCCCCTGGAGGGTCAGCCCCGTCATTTGTACAATTTTGAATCCCTACCACCCAGGGATGCTTCCAGTTAAATTCAGTTAAATTCAACAGAGGGTCAGGGAGGATGTTTGTATCCTTTACCAACAGCACAGGTAGGTGGAACAGAGGGTCAGGAAGGATGTTTGTATCCTTTACCAACAGTACAGGTAAGTGTAACAGAGGGTCAGGGGGGATGTTTGTATCCTTTCCCAAAAGTATAGGTACAGGTAGGTGTAACAGAGGGTCAGGGGGGATGTTTGTATCCTTTCCCAAAAGTATAGGTACAGGTAGGTGTAACAGAGGGTCAGGGGGGATGTTTGTATCCTTTCCCAAAAGTATAGGTACAGGTAGGTGTAACAGAGGGTCAGGGGGGATGTTTGTATCCTTTCCCAAAAGTATAGGTACAGGTAGGTGTAACAGAGGGTCAGGGGGGATGTTTGTATCCTTTACCAACAGCACAGGTAGGTGTAACAGAGGGTCAGGAAGGATGTTTGTATCCTTTACCAACAGTACAGGTAAGTGTAACAGAGGGTCCGGGAGGATGTTTGTATCTTTACCAACAGTACAGGTACAGGTAGGTGTAACAGAGGGTCAGGGAGGGTGCTTGTATCCTTTACCAACAGCACAGGTAGGTGCAACAGAGGGTCAGGGAGGATGTTTGTATCCTTTACCAACAGCACAGGTAGGTGTAACAGAGGGTCAGGGAGGATGCTTGTATCCTTTACCAACAGCACAGGTAGGTGCAACAGAGGGTCAGGGAGGATGTTTGTATCCTTTACCAACAGTACAGGTACAGGTAGGTGTAACAGAGGGTCAGGGAGGGTGTTTGTATCCTTTACCAACAGCACAGATAGGTGTAACAGAGGGTCCGGGAGGATGTTTGTATCCTTTACCAACAGTACAGGTAGGTGTAACAGAGGGTCAGGGAGGATGTTTGTATCCTTTATCAACAGTACAGGTAGGTGTAACAGAGGGTCAGGGGGGATGTTTTTATCCTTTACCAACAGCACAGGTAGGTGTAACAGAGGGTCAGGGAGGGTGTTTGTATCCTTTACCAACATCACAGGTAGGGGTAACAGAGGGTCAGGGAGGATGTTTGTATCCTTTACCAACAGCACAGGTAGGTATAACAGAGGGTCAGGGAGGATGTTTGTATCCTTTTACAACTGTAATGATTTTTTCCCCTTTAGCTCACTATAAAATGTTAACATGTTAAACACCATCACCCATAGAGTGTCAAGCATAAGGGTACATTCGCATATCCAGTTGAAACGGTTGAATCTGTAAAGAAAATGACAGACACAGATCTGAACTGAGGCTGACCTCAGGAAAATTTGGCACATGTAGATTGACGGATCCAGACGTACCTGACCGAAACTAAAATGATGACTAATGCCAGTTGGCGCTATTTCTTTCTAAAAGAAATTTATAATATTCTTGATACATTGTTTTTTATTCTACGAAACTGTGCATTTTTAGCTCTGCTTATAGAACGGTCCAAGAGCGTTTCTTTTATCGTGGAATATTTCTGCGCCACACGTATGTTTCAACCAGAATACAAATGTAGCCCTAGTGTCAATCCCAACTTCCCCTCCCCATATATATATTTATACACAACAAAAACGATGAAACAACAGTTTACCTGTTTATTACATTCGAGATATTTAAATGAGGCAGATAGCAAGATAAAAAGAAAATACAAACTTATACTTTGGCGTATCAGGGGCTACTCACTCAACACTATAAGCTAACTATATACAATACTACAAAAACAAACGTGTACTGACGAGGTAGCCTCCTAAGCAAACCATATATATATATATATGCAAAAAAATGCATATGGATGAAGCCAAAGTAATATACGGTTTCAAAATTTAAAGTTACCTGTTGTGAAGTCACGGGAATCATCATTGTCACCAGTTGGTAGAATGTTTATACTTGTGCTGGTCCCGACAGGTTTATTTTGTTTTGTTTTGGTACTGAACGCTGGCTCAGCAAATGTCCTAGATTGTGAAGCATCTAAATAGTCGTGTGATGCCTCGGATGTTTTTGGTTCAGAAAATGAAGGACCAAATAGGTCATCATCAGCATCATCTTCTTTCCCTGTGTACAACAGTCGCCCTGGTCCCTTACTCATGCTACTTTTGAGGAAGGACTGGTCAGTTTTAGACTTGCTTGTCTGTCCAGGCAAACTAAAACGTCACAGAACAATATTGTGATGTAAGGTCATATACAGTACATGCATATCAAAAGACTACAATAGACATTGACTTGGTACAGGCAAACATTTAGTTATAGAAGAAAAATGTTATACATGTCTATTAGACAGTGCCAGTCTGCCTGGAGCATCCTCGACACTCCAGGGGTTACGCTCGTTTTTGCTCTCTGCACCCCTGGAATATATATATATATATGTCATAGCAAAATAGAGGCTCGGTGTGCAACATCTTGTGGATGAGACGAAAATACTAGTTTGACCCTTTGATGTACAATGTATATCAAAAGAATCATGTGGTCGCCAACGGTAAATTTGACTACCAGGTATCTTTTAAGTTTGGTGCCACTCCTCTGAAATCCTCAAAGGACAGATATCAGCCTAGCGATTGGTCAGATTTTTACCTGAGACCAATCAAATAGCTAGCCACATGCCTTCAATTCTGCTATGACATATTCCAGGGGTGCATAGAGCAAAAGTAAGCATTAAACACCTGAAGAATCGAGGATGCATGGCCTGGGGTGGCCAAACCTTTTACTCGTATACTGACGTGTTCCCTTGTACCAGGAATACTTTACACGAAATAAGGCTGTCCATTCATCCTTGTAAAGGGTCTTTTCTTGGATACTGCTACCAATATTATTATACTTACCAAATTTTGCCAACAATGGATTGCAGTGACGAGGTAACTAATAAGACACTTGGGCGTTTATTGTTAAGAACATCCCCCATACTGTACTTATAATAATAATAGTGAAATAATTCCCATCTCCAATCACCTCCAACATTCTCCAATAGAAATATGTGATAGGTAAAAAATACTTTAGTTGTGATATATATACATATAAATATACTCTGATATTTATCTTTAGTTATAAGTAGTCATTGGTACTCACGAATGAACTCAAGTGTTAGAAAAGTAATATAACTATCATTCTCCCAAATTCGCCATTAACCTCCAATAGGCTCTTTCGACCCTGTTGTTGTGATGAGGTGCATTAGGGCATATTTGGTATCTTTTATGAGAGAAAGTATATATATATATACACGTATGTACCAAATATAAATATAAATATTTTGTTTAACTAATAAAAGTTCTAAGTTGAATTGTACTCTTGAATTGGTGTTGTTTATAAAAACCTAGAGAAACAACCAAGCATACCAAAATCTGAGACCAGACGGGCTCAAATAGACGTCAACTTGACATAATATAAATGACTAATTAGCGACGTTACAGTACGTTTCTGTTTGGTCAAAATCAAGCTGACCTTGGATCCTCATATCCATCAGGTAAATACAAAGCAATACTTTTTTCCATTAATTTGGTGGGATGGGGCCTTTTTGTCTCATTATGGAAAGAAAATACACCAATTGGGAAGGAAACTTTCAGGTGTAAACTGCAAATTCTTGGAATTAGGCATCAATATGAAATACTTGTACAGTTGAACCTCGTTATCTCAAACTCTTTTAACTCAAAGACCCTGTTTATCTCCGGTCCCGGCAAAATCTGTGATTTACGATAAAGCTTCAGACTGTAAAGTGTGCGGACTGTCAAAACCATGTTGTTCATAATAAAAAACAAACTTCATCAATGTTGATCAACGGTATTCTGTATTTATTGCAAGTATGTTTAATGATTTGTTCACCCAAACAGACGACAGTGCAAACCGGAAAGCGTCACAAAGCGTGGTCATGCATAAAAGAGTTCCACAGTTAAAATCACAACCTAGGACAGCTTCACGGGTTCATGTTTTATACAGGAGCCAGTATGGCTTTGAAAGTCGATCGAGAGATTTAAGAACAATACGATAATTGCTATTGATTACATCGAGTTGAGGAGGTGTCAGGTGTCACACTTGGCTTTTATGAATCAATGTGTTACATGTACGATACAATCTGTTTGTGTGTGTTTTCATTTACAGAATCAACTATATACGTACACTCCATTACAGTGATTTGTTTTATACTTGCACACTTTCATTTCTGCATAGTACGAGGATTGTCTTGGTTAAGACAGCGGGATAGTTCGATTTTTAAATGTAACACTTGACGGACTTGCAAATACAAATGTAGATCTGGAAAGACTTTGCCAAGATCTAGACTAGCCAAAAACAACATTTAATCACTAGGCCCATCCATACTTAATAACGAATTCACAATATGGTCCACCATTTTGATGGCGTGAAATAAAGTATGTTTTTTGGAAATAACTTGCTCTATTTTTGTAAGTGTGTTTATTCTAAAATCAAATACCTGTATTTGTTATATTGATTACGTATATCATTCATCGATTGATTATAAGCATTGGCTATTAATATTAAGTCCAAACAGCAAAATTTCATACCAAATTTATGAACCAGCATAACTTGAATACTCAGATAACTCGAAGCTTTTCCACGACCCCATTGACTTCATGATAACAAGGTTCGTCTGTAGTTTCAATTGGGAATGGGGCCCATTATTGGCCCCAAAAAGTCCCTGGAAAAAACCATGGTAAAGTAAATTTAAGTCACCTACCTGTGTGGTGCTACTGTGGCGACAGGTTTCGAAGGCTTGATATCTTTACCAGTAAAGTCAGTAATTGACATTTGTTGTTTCCACACCTGAAGTAAAACAAATACACAGTTATCAAATAAAGTTGATGCTTTTATTGATGTTCTGTCCCTATAAATGCTGGAAAAGGAATTTCACAGATTTAACATTATGTGGTATAGGAAATATATTTTTGAAAATATTTTGTGAAAAAAATAGAGGTTCCAGCCAATGTTTAAAGATAAATACAATGTATATATAAATAACAATTATTGCCAATGAGAAACCTAATTAAACATTATGGTCATGTTTCTGACTACAGGAGTCTAACTTTGATAAATCTAAAATCTACATCCATATTTAGACATTTACCTTCAATAATACTTAACTCCGAAGAAACATAACTTCAAAGACGAAACATTTATAAAAAATTGTAGTAAGGTCAAAGAGTTTAAATAATACCACATGCTAACAGGAATATCTTTTATAACAAAATGTTGAAAATAACATGAAACAGAAATTTAAAAAAATATCTCTATATCAATATAGATAATACCACATAATTAGATTAGATGCTATCTAAGTCTGTGATAATACATATATTCTTGAGTTCCAGCAGATAAGTATTACAGGTAAATTTACCTGTTAGAATTTGCCCCATTGTTATGAAAATGGCTATCCCTATCAAAACAAAACTGGCAACGTTAGCAGAGAAATTATAAATGTTGACATGGAGAGATCTAGATAAACCCAGTTTTTACTGTACCATAATACTTTACCAGTATTAATTTACATAGTAAAATCATATTCTCTATGCAGGTACCTAATAATTTATATAACCAGTATGCTCTACTATGCTGTTTCTACATATAAAGCAAAATATTGTGACTTATATTTTTCAAAATTTTCTGTGGAGAGCACTATACCTACTTTGATTTCTATTATATGTGTTAGTAAGTTAGTATCGAGTAAAGCAATACATTGGGTATATATTTGTGACACAGGCCTGCTAAATATTCGTCATATTTAAATGGGATGTATTTTATTTGTATAAGTGTTAGTTTGCATCAATAAAAAAAATTGTTTACTTATCTTCATATTGTGTGCAGATTCCGGAAAATCCGTACCATGACCGGTTTTCAAACTTGCGTTTTGTACTTTCGTTTTCAAAATACGTGTAATGCAGCATTATCCACAGTAGGCCCGGATTATGTATATTTGGGACTGTATTGTCTGTAACTGACTATTGACGACTGGACACTGACCTAAGACATGCACAAGGCATTCTCTTTCTTTTCCCCGCTTTATTCTCTCTGTCTCTCTCTACTTCACTCTAGCTCTATAACTTGAAGGCGTCAGATCAATTCTTCATCTCTTCAGGAATATTTTGTTCAAAAAGGCTGGATCATCTTTGCAGATTTATGCATAATTTATTTAATTGAAGTTTCTAGTACATTTTTCCTTCGTTAATTTCATCACGATAACTTCTTTGTTCATAAGATGTCGCCATGGCCATTTTACTTTCATGATAGACGAAAGGCAGTCTGTTTAATTGTAACGTAAATTGTAAGTGTAATTTGAATAGTATTTTTCATACTTACTAGTGTTAAATATGCCAGCATGGTAATTTTGTGATTGACACAACTTCACGTTGATGTTGTGTACATGGTTTGAATTTGCGATCAATGCTTGAATAGGATTTATTTGTAATATTTTTTTTATTATTTATATTTTAGGGACTTTTTCCATATACCGTTTTAACAATGCACTGAATAAAGATGCACAACTGAATTTAAAGACTTCGCCTGGTTCTCCCAATACCGCAAACAACCCTAACTTCACATACTCTACATATTCAAAATGTACATCTTACAGAACATCTATATTTACTAAACAAACCTTTGATGCATTGGGAACAAATTTAGATGTAGTTTGGGCAGATTTTGGAAATGGTGGTGTAGTAAGCCACTCTTCATCGTCCTCGTAATCGTCCACACAGATAGGTATTGGTAGCGGAGGAATGGGTGTACTCGACGAAGTGACATTATCCTTTGCTGGAGAGAGGGCTGCTGTTGAGGACTATCGGAGTACAACAACAACAATGTTTACGCTGTAGGTATGCCTTTAACACTAATGAAACACAAGGATGGTCTGTTACTGTTAGGTTCACTCGCGATCGGTTATTTACAGAAGCGATGACATGACCGAATCCTACAGGTTTTGGTGAACCCAGAAGGTTCAGTAGACTAGGCTGGTTTGGTACTTTTGAAGACAACAAATGCTGAAGGGTTTTATCTAAAATTAGCAACACAAAGGACACCAGAAGCAAAGTACAACGTTGAGACGTCATTCCTATTGCCAAAAATCTTATAAAATATCAAATGACTTTTGCGAAGAACTGATCATACGTCATGGTATCAAAACGACCGAGTAGATCTAGGTAGGCTAGGTATATATCTGTACTGTACCAAGGGCCACATGATCGCAGAAAACAGGTTATCACACAATGCCACATGTGTCGAGTCAATTCTCATTCAAAAAATAAACTTTTAATGATCAGCTGCAAGTTTGACAGCCGTAATTGGAGTTTGGCGATAGACATATAGCCAACACCATGCATATACACATTTGCATGTCATTGTAGGGTTTCGTGAACTCTGGGGAAAAAAGCAAGCCTATCTTATTTAAACACAATTGGTACAAGAGACGTTTAGATATACTATACCATTTTTTATGCAAATTCTGGAAAAAAATATCGGGGGCATAGTGGTGAAAATTGTCAAATTTGACCAATCATTGGGCAGGATTTGGCAGATGACTACGAGCAAATCTAAGATAGCAAAAGAGTCCGACCAACTGAAGTAAGTCAGGCCTAAAAATCTATAAATCAGTACAGATAATATATATATTCCAGCTCCAGCAGATAAGTATTACGGGTAAATTCACTTGTTAGAACTTGCCCCATTTTCATGAAAATGGCTATAATCCCTATCAAAACAAACTGGCAACAGAAAATTCATAAATGTTGACATGCAGAGATATAAACCCAGTTTTCACCCTACCAATATTTCATCAGTATTAATTTCTCCTATACATTCATGCCGTTGTCAAACTGTAATCTCCATGTAGTTTTTATATCAGATATATTATTAGTATGCTGTTTCTAAAGGTATAAAAGCATGTTGAGAAAACAGTGGACATTTGATTTCAATTAGTTGTGTTAATAATTAAGTTAGTATCAATTAAAGCAATGCATTGTGTATCTCTTCAAAATCATATCTATATAACAGTGCATTACAGAACATCTGTATGTATCAAACAAACCTTTGATGTTTTGGGAACAAATTTAGATGTAGTTTGGGCAGATTTTGGGATTGGTCGTGTAGTAAGCCACTCTTCATTGTCCTCGTAATCGTCCACACAGATCGTTGGTAGTGGAGGAATGGGTGAACTCGATGAATTGACATTTTTCTTTGTTTGGGAGAGGTCCGCTTTCGAAGGTCTGGCATTTGTCACTGGGGCTGAGAATTTAAAGTCTGAGGATTGTGTTTGTATCTTAGTACTGCTCTCCAGACTAAACTTGTTACTGAACACATGTTTAGTCCCTTTGTTCAGGCTGGTTCTCTTAAATTTGAATCCACTGAAAATAAATAAATCAGCATGTAAATTTGATAATCATAGTCCTAATACAAACATGTTTACGATTACATCCTGAAGCGTGAAGATAATTTAATGGGACTGAATACCAAAATAGTTGTTCGCTATACATTAGATTTTTTTATTTTTATTTTATAATGAATGGGTATCACGCGACTTTAATGCATTTTTATCAATCATATAGTATAAATCATAAGAATATATGACTTTCAAAGCATACTTTACATGGAAGATATTTAAAATCTTTTATTTCAATGATGAACCGATTATATTGATTTTGAAATTATTAATCGATGATCAGAATCGGAAAGGGCAAATCGATCGATTTTGATTATAATTAATCATCAGCCCTCCACTACCATGTATCCTATGTAAAATTAAATCTGCCACACTATCCCCTCTTTTTAAATGTGTTTCCCCTCAAACACCACAACAACCAACGGCCAGGTTATTACTCCCCATCACCACAGGGAGGGCCACGGACACCATTTGTAACAGAAAAGACAGTAAAGTACTTACACCTTAGATAGAACTTGAAATTCCAGACTTCCTTAAGTTGGATACTCTACCACTGAGCTAAAGGAAATCTACCTATATACAATGCAAAGCTAGTAGCTTAAGGTGACCAAAATCGTATGTATAATTAAAATCTGCCACACGTATATATATAATTTATAACTACACTTTCCTGTACCTACTTTTTAGTGACAACACTGCGATCATCATTGGAGGCTTCAGACATCACTTGTTTCAAGTTTGTCCATAGGGGTAAACTGGTGTCAAACTGCCTGGAATGATAAAATTGACACAAATGCTACACAAATATTTTTGAAATACATAAAAGGTAAAAGGTACATGGCATGATGGGGTGGGTACATGGCATGATGGGGTGGGTACATGGCATGATGGGGTGTTTCCTATTTCACCCACGAAGAAAGACATCAATAATGTCTTCCATATCTAAGAACGCATGATACATGAGTACAATCATCAACATTTTCCAGATCCTAAGTAGGAAATGTATAAAATCAAATTGTTTGAGTTGAAAGTGTTCACCATCTGGTTAACTGATATTTCTCAATACATTGTCATCATCATCACCTCAATTCAAAGTCTCTGTCATTTTCATTATCATGCTACACACATATTCTGGTATTCTACACGAGACAGTGTACATTTATAACAGACCAGATGATAGCTTTAATTTGCTGATTATGATGTTAAATGGTCTTAATTACCCTTCAAATTAGAAGCTCAGTAGTGTATCAGTAGGAAATAAATGTTAACAGACCACAGGCGTTTGAAACACCTTTGAACAGACCCAGCATTCGTAGCGTAAAGGAACAACTGCAGCTCATTTGGAGGAGGAGTCTTTACACCAGTTAAGGACAACATTGTGTCATCAGAGGAACAGTGCCTAGTGACCGACTGCGAAATTGAATGGGTCAAGGTAAAACTACCGAGGAACAAAGACATCTATGTCGGGAACTTATACATGCCTCATCGGAACATGAAAGACATCAAGGAACTTAACAACTCGTTACACAAGCTTTCCAACATTCCAAACCCGAGAAGTACAGTGCTTCCTGGGAACTTTAACTGTCCTAACATAGACTGGTCAAGCCAACACGTGAGCAACGTTAACCACGCCTCTGATAAGGCGATCCAACAAGCCTTAATAGATGTAACATCCGACAACCTTATCCAGATTCACGAAACACCAACAAGAGAGCAAAATATGTTTGACTTGGTATTCACATCCAACCCTACACTAGTTTTAAAAGTCCTCAATTAGTACTTAAGTATTAGTGACTTGTCAGACCACGATGCCATAGTCACCAACATCGACATTAAACCGGTATACAACCAACAACAACTCAAAATCTACAAATATTCACAACCAAACTGGGACCAACTTAAACAGGACTGTAAGAAAACATCGTCCAACACCATCTACAAAGCAAACAGTGGAGGTACAATTGAAGAAACATGGGAAACATTTAAAACAGGAATCCTACACAGCATGGATAAAAACATACCGACCAGACTTTCTAGTCTACGACCATCACTGCCGTGGGTAAATAGGAAAATCAAGAAAATACTCAGACGCAAACAAAGACTCTATAAACCAGCAAAGAAGGACTCAAAACAATGACAGCAAATCTTTCTGGCGTTACATCAAATCTCGAAAACAGGACAACATCGACGTCTCACCCCTGAAAGATCGAGGTACACTAACCAGCGACAGTCTACAAAAGGCAAACATATCATTAAGTAAATTCCAGTCTGTCTTCACAAAGGAGGACCCAACCGAGTACCGGAACTACATAGGGCAGCCATCTGACATCCACTAACAAACATTGTCATCCAAGTCTACGGGGTCACGAAACTCCTGCACAACCTTAACACTGCAAAATCCTATGGTCCTGATTCCAAATATGATCCTTTTCGGCTGCGGTGAGGAACTCTCACCCGGCCTTAGTGCTGTATTTCAGTTATCGCTAGACACTGGATCACTACCATCAGACTGGCTAAAAGCCAATATTTCCAGTGTATTTATAAAGGGAGAAAAAAACCTTGCAGAAAACTACCGTCAAATCTCACTGACCTGCGTATCGTGCAAGATACTAGAACATATCATCTGCGGTCAACTCATGAAACATCTAGAGGATAACAACATACTTACCACCTCAAACCACGGCTTCAGGTCCGGGTATTCCTGCGAACCCAACTATTAGTCACCATGGAGGACCTACTACAAGCACACGACAGTAACAACCAGATCAACTGTGCAATACTAGAATTCTCGAAGGCATTCAATACTGTGCCTCACAAACAACTCCTACACAAACTGTCATCATACGTAAACAGTCAAATACACACATGGCTCACAGTTTCTTACTGCTTATGCAGGTTGTATTAGAGGGCCAGACTACACATCAAGTTACCGTGGACTCCGGTGTCCCCTAGGGGACCGTCCTCGGCCCGATACTGTTTCTGTTACATCAATGACCTACCAGCCAGTGTAAACTCCCAAACGAGGCTCTTCGCAGATGACTGTTTGCTGTACCGCACAATCAGATGTCAACAAGACCATTTTACTTTACAACAAGGCCTTCAAAACTTGGAAAAGTGGGCAAAATCTTGAAATTCATTGCAAAGAAATGCTACATCCTCAGCATCCGGGGTAAGAGTAAACACTTCTAAAGCCTGGACAACACCATCCTCCAGCAGGTCCCATTTAACCCTTACCTTGGTATTACCATCTCAGAGGATCTAAAGTGGGGCATTCAAATAGATAACACCACCAAAAAGCCAATTCGACCTTAGGCTTCCTACATAGGAACTTACGGAGCTGCCCACCACTTAGAAGACACAGTGCATATGTATCACTCATACACCCCATTCTAGAGTACGGTACAGTCGTGTGGGACCGATATTACACCACGAGACATAAACAAAATTGAGAGAGTGCAACACTGAGCCGCCAGATTCATCTCGGGAGACGTACGGTGTACAAAACCAGAGACCCGGGATGCGTTACATCGATGCTCAAGGAGCTGAAGTTACCACCACTCCAGGAGAGGCGCTGCAACATCAGGCTGACTTACAACTACAAAGTCGTTGAGGGGTTGGAGCCAGCCATGCCACCTCGGAGATACCCGACAGCCCGCAAACAAGGCAGGAACATCCGTACCAAATCATATACCGACTTTGATACCACCAACATTGTCGACCGTTCAGCCCGTTTAAACAACAGAGGTTTCATCGTTCCATCAAGGTCTGAACAGTACAGGAACTCGTTCCTTGTTAGAACAACAATAGACTGGAACCACCTAAGTGACTCAATTGTGAAACTATCAAGGCATTTAAATCAGCCCTCGAATCGTGCGATTAATTACATCTGCGCTCTCTCACCCGCTGCAATATTCCCTTAATTGGGATCTAGCAGTGTATTCCATACAGATACAGACTGGCAAGAGCGCTTAGTGATATCTTCATACCTTCAACATGATGATGTCGAATAGCTATGTCAACTTCAACAGGATACTCTAAAACGTTCAATATACTGAACATTACCGTTTAGAGGCAACATCTATCGTATGTATACAATAGCATATTATTTCAATGATAACAACCCTGCTTCTGTATTCATTTGATTGACAAATGAAGCTAGATCTTGTACCTGCTGTTCTTCAGTATAGCTAGCTGCAATAACGTGGCTATCTGAAGACGAGAGATGTTTTAAAGAGGAGGCCGGGTATTAATATTAGTACTACAGCAGACGATGTTTACCTGTGTTGAAACCTTATAATTGTCAATAAAAAAAAGAAACATGAGCTTGAATCCAAATGTTTCGACAGATCAGTCAACAGTTGAAAATGCTTATCTACTGTCGACTTGCAGAAATCAAATTGTGAATCAAAAACTGCATTTTTTTTTCTTATATTAAACGAGTTTAACGTGATCAACTAATCGATATTCCGGCGCCCTTTAAACCGGAAGTGTAGTTTTCCTTTTGACAGTGTAGAGAGTTCCTTTTCCGGTTGCCATTTTATCATTAAGAACACGGTGAATATTATTGACATTAAATCGGGTGTAATCGCGCATTTACAAATGTGTCTATCTGTCCGATTTAGGAAATCATGTTCATGAAATACGCATTGATAGGATTGAAGTTTTGATGGGGTAAAAAAGCGCAGATGGTCGTGAATTCTACTTTTTTTATATACACTCTCATGTGTAAATGAATGTTTACCGTACAGTACTCTTGACATTAGTGGGGACTGTCCTCGAGTCTCTCATCGTATAAAATTTAATAAAAAGGGGTTTAAACTAAAGCTTCACAAATATTAAAGAATACGAAGGTATTTCTATATCATTTTAAGTGCCCATACAACTCTGTCCAGTGTACGAACTGGTATATTTTGATGCCATATCAGTGATCTAAAATTTACTGAATTAGTTTGTAAGGGTCTTTCCACCGTTTGGTTGAAAGATATGAGTCCCTCCATGTTGAATTCAGTATTTTGAGAAATCCTATGGGTACAGGACCCAGGACTGCATGAAAATTTATCAATCCATTTAATATTCAAAAAGTCGTAAATAAAATTAGATGTAGACTTTAAATGATGAACAGAATTTGTCGCGTTTATTATAGAATCCCGGCGGATTGTGCCCTATTTTAATGAAAAGAATATGACGGATATTTAAACAGTCTATAACTGTAAGTAAACAAGGTGACAACATCAGAAATGCCAGACTAAAAACATTTTCTTTTTTCAGAAATGGCGATTCGTCACGAGATGTGTATAGGCCTCCAGAAGGGTCACAAAGTGACCAAAATCGAGACTGGACGAAAAACAAGGCCAACCCGCAGGAAGGGAGTAAGTAATGCTATCACATTCGAAGTGAAATAGAGAAAGTGATTTTCTCCTGCCCACACAACTCCAACAACCCAGGTGGAGTATAAAATGGTCTGGGATGGATGTCGCGGTATCTGTGATGTAGCATTCAAGTGAGGTGGCACTATATAATCCTGCGAATTCCTCAAAAATTGTATATATATATGTACTGTAAAGCGCTTTAGAGTGGCTTATGTTAGCTAGATAGGGCGCTATACCAAATGTTGTATTTTACATTATTAATTTGGCCACAAGTGAAGTTTAATAAAAAAAAAAAAAAGTAATTTGCAATACTTTCAGTTCCCGGTCAGTATTGCAGCATGCATGTAGTGAAAATTGCCCTATTGGATATGATTTTACTTTAAATAATGGTTATCCAAACTTTCCCATGAAAGTGACACTTTAGATGATTTTATATAAAAAGGACATTTGATTAGCAGTGGTTTTTCTACCTTCTTTCTACAGGGGCACCTCTACCATACTGTTGTCTTTGGAAAAATATTGCACACAAATAGCATGAACCTTGGAAAATAGTGTGATTTTTGCATTGATTTTGGGGAAATAAAGCAGACATTTTCTAGTGGAAGGGACTTGTCAGATGTACCATTAAAAATTTCTAAAAGGTAAATAGACAGTATTTTAAAAGAGAGATATAAACTGGATGAATCTCAAAAAACATACCCAAAAAGTACTGGACTGAAGTTTCTAAACATTTTCTTCAGGTTGGATTATGAAAAGCTTTTTTTACACAACAAATAACATTTTCTATGCAACGTTTCGATGACAAGTACGATATGTACACTGTCACCTTCATCTGACAAATGACCAGTGAAGTGTATGCACACAAAGGTGTAAATGTGTACGAGCTGTCCACAAAATTGATGTCAATTTTGGCTACGCTGTAAGCGTATGTGCTTACAGCATAGCCGAAATCAACATCGATTTTGTGGACAAATCGTACATATTTTACACCTTTTTGTGCATACACTTCATAAAAAAAACTTTTCATAAGACCTGACTGAAGGTCACAAATTGTTCTTCGTCAAAGTTTGTGTAAATTCTATTGTGAAAGGGTTACTGGGCTTTTTTTTTATCAAACAATTTATTCCTCATTTCATTTTGGTCTATTTGGGAAAATAAGGCACCTAGCTCGGGGAAACAATCTGTATTCCGCTGTAAAAGCGAGCAAAAAAAAACCCACTGCTTTTTATACGCCCGTCAAATTTGACTGAGGTATTATGGTATGGGGTTGTGCGTCCGTCTGGGGTAAACTTTTGTTTGTCCGGCAATCTCCTACATTTTTAGACCTATCTCTTTGAAACTTGGTATACGTTATAATCATGATATGTTGTGTTTTCTTGAAAAGAATTTTGATTCAACAATTTTTGCAAAAGTAACTGCCCTTTGTTTATTTCAGTATTTGATTTTTGTCTGGAAATCTACTCCTACATTTTTCAACGGATCTCTTTGAAACCTGGTGTACATTATATTCATGATATGAAGTTGTGTCTCCCTTAAAAGAATTTCAATTTGACGATTTTTGCAAAGTTTTTGCCCTTTGTTCATTTAAGTATTTGATTTTTTGTCCTGATATTTTCTCCTACATTTTTTATATCATGTCAGCTAACCACTCTTAGAATGATGCAGATCTTATTTCTATGTAGGAAAATATATAACACTATATGGCGGCATTCGAAGGGCGTATATTGTTCCGCCCCGCGGTACTCTTGTTATTAGTACACATGGACAGGAAAACACAACTGGTTTGATAAAAAAATAAACTTAACTTTCACGCCCAGTACAGAATTCCTTAATTTACCAACCGAGATTCATCAGATCATCAATCAGCACTCTTTCTCTCCTTGAAGGGGCTATTTAAAATAGTCAAATGACAACCAGATAATCAAGCCGATGCTGAAAATATATATCTTCTAACGGAGGTTTACGTAGTTTATAATGACATGACCTGAAGCCAACGTCCAGTGTGGTCAGTGTCATCTTTTGGGAAAGCCGGTGATAAAAATAGCTATGACAGAAATAGCGCAACATCCTTGCCTTTCAGCGAGAAATAAAGACAACATAGTGTCAGTTGTGAGTCTGAGTTCACACATAACACATTCTTGAATTTACACAATACATTGCAAGTAAGAATTATAAATATCATAATATATACCTCTAAACAGATATTTCTGTTCACATTAGGAATTGAATAAAAAGGAACAGGGTCAATTAGACGCACCGAGAGAGTGCCGCATGTAGAATTTCAAACCGCAGAAAGTATGATATCAATAGGTTTAAACTCAATTAAAACGATGTTTGAGAGGCTATTGGAAGGATGATTTTGATTCACAATAAATGCATGTACTTGAAACTTGAAGGCTTCAGCATTATGCTGCTATTAACATGAATAAGTTTAGAGAGCTTAGGGTTTGCCCATTCCTTACATTGGGCTATTTTACTTAAAAAAGCCCCCAGCAACAGACATCAAATGAAAATCACCCATGTTCCAGGTCAGAGGTTGGAAAAGAAAATAGCAAAACACTAAGTTGTTTATTGCATTTGAAAAATACATGCATCTATGGTTGTGATATATCTAGATATTGAAATTGATGTGGAATAAGATACTTTAGTATATTCTCAATGGATTTGAAACATGGCTACTAAGCATCTGACCTTTGTATATTTAAACCTTGTGTGGTATTTGTTGCACATTCATATAATGATTTTAAGTTCAGTTTGTTGATTTCATAAATATTTGAATGAACACTGGTTTGAATTCATCAATATATCTAAAAACTAGGGTGAGCCATTTGGCAAATATCAAAATAATATGCTTTTAGCAGTTTTGTTGTATTGCTAAATATCATTAATATTATCTTTGTATGTTCAAAACAAAACTTTTAAAAGGGCTAACTTAACACTGTAGTAACTGTATGCTTGTAAGTAAAACCATATCTTCTCTTTCAGGCACAGACTGCCCATGTGCGTCGTGTTCGTGACCTTATCCGTGAGGTGACTGGTTTCGCTCCATATGAGAGGAGGATGCAGGAGTTACTGAGGATCTCCAAGGATAAGAGAGCCCTCAAGTTTGCCAAGCGAAGGGTAAGGGCTGTCTCTGTATTGGTTCATTATCAAGTTCATGTAAAGCAGAATTTTAAGGAATGTTGGGCTCCTCTAACATTGAATTTTTACCCGATACAATGTTTATTGGGGATTGGTTGACAGAAACATTGCCAGTACTTTATTCTGTTTTCTGAAGATTATATGTTGAATATATGAGAACTGTGTGAAGATGATCCTGAAGCAAATTTTGGTAGATAATTGATTGCATTTCAATTATGTGCTATATTATTTACCCATTCTGCCACAATTCCGTATTCTCTATTTCATATTGATTTTGTGAAAAAAAACTTTCCCTTTCATCTCCTTTCAGCTTGGTGCCCATGTTAGAGGTAAAAGGAAGAGGGAAGAAATGCAAAATATCTTACAGAAGATCAGAAAGGCACAGCAACAGAAGCAGTAAACTTGCTTGTATATATTAAATTCAAAAAAATCCTCACAAATTTGGTGTTTTGTGATTTGTCGGACATTAAAGAGAGAAGTTAAGAAACTTTGATGAACAGTCATGAAACTACATTGTCCACATATTTCTGACCCGTAGATAATCATTACTGCAAGACCAGATCATACACAAACTTGTTTAGATTTTTTAAGGCAACTAATTGATAAGGACGAAGCCATTTTTTACTGGCCTGTTGTATTCTGTCTTCTGCTTAGTCTAAGTAATGATGAAACTCTTCTTTCTGATTATGCCTTATATAACCTAACAAGAGGTCTAAAGGGTTTTATACTCTCAGGAGTTTCATGGTCTAACTTAATGGCATACAACAAAGAGACACTAAATACATATACTAAATTACAATGTTCAAAGTACTATTACTGGTAATAGATTTTGATTGCCATGAACCAAACACAAAACTGATTATTATACGGCTTTGATCCTGATGGAGTTGTCCACAAAAAGTTGCCTGGATAGCACACACCAGAAAAAGCTGGACATCTGTTACTGAAGCTTATGCAATCAAATTGTATGGGCACTTTTGATAACTTTAAAAGTTTAGCACTTCATGAAAGCCAGAACTGTAAGCTGATGCTAAACATTCCTGCCTCTGTATCATGTCAAAATGATAAAAACCAGAGATCCCAGAGCGATCTTAGCGCCCACCATTGTACCATCTTCATTAGTTCTTTGTCAGTTTCGATCTTTTCTCTTCTTTTCTCTAATCTGTTTGATTGAGTCATGTAAACAGTAAATGCACGTTGAGGTAACTTTTGATCTAAACTTAATACTGATGTGTATGAAAGACTACCTTCAAAGTGAGTTTGTCATTTCACACATTTACCAGTACAGTATTTAATGTGAAAGAAATAGAATCAATCATTGCAATATGAGAAAGATCTGTTTAGTCCTTTCTTAAGCCATTTTGTTTTTATGATCCGTTTAAAAATATAACATGAACAACGAGGGATCAAGGGATGCCTACATATCAAATTTGAAAAAAAGTTATTCCTGAGAAATAATACCAACAAACCTTAAATGTCAAAAGTCGAAGATGACTGTCGGTCAGCCATTTTGTTTATCTGATCAGTCTCAACAGTAAATATGCACAACTAAGGACCTAGGGGAACCTACATAAAAGATTTGAGAAAGATCTCTCGACTACTTATTGAGAAACGGCAATAACAAACATTCACTTTCAAAATCCAAGATGGCTGCCTGTCGGTCATTTTGTTTATCTGATCAGTCGCAAAAGTTAACCTGCTCAACGAAGGACCAAGGAACACCTGCATATCAAATTTGAGAAAGATCCCTCCCGTACTTCCTGAGAAATAACGATAACAAACCTTCAATGTCAAAATCCAAGATGTCTGCCTGTTGGCCAAAATTATACATGCACAACTACAGACCTAGAGGAGCCTACATAACAAATTTGGGAAAGATCCCTCGAGTACTTTCTGAGAAATCGTGATAACGACCTTTAATGTCAATCCAAGATGAGAGCCATTTTGTTTATCTGATCATTCTCAAAATTAAACATGCACAACTACAGACCTAGGGAAGCGTACATAACAAACTTGGGAAAGATCCCTCCAGTTCTTCCTGAGAAATCGTGATAACCAACCTTTAATGTCACAATCCAAGATGAGAGCCATTTTGTTTATCTGATCATTCTCAAAATTAAACATGCTCAACTACAGACCTAGGGAAGCCTACGTTACAAATTTGGGAAAGATCCCTCGAGTGCTTCCTAAGAAATTGTTATAACAAACCTTCACTATCAAAATCCAAGATGGTGGCCTGTCGGCCATATTCTATATCCTATCAGTCTCAAAAGTTGCCCTGCACAACAAGGGGCCAAGGGGAACCTACATATAAAATTTGAGAAAGATCCCTATGGCACTTCCTGAGAAATAGTGGTAACAAGAATTGTTTAAGGATGGACGACGGGCGGACGGATCACGTACGCATGGCGATTTGATGGTGGGCTAAAAATTGCAATTTATCAGTGATAACATTGGGTTCAAAATTTCATAGAGGTCTGTTGAAGATATTATCAATGATTTTTTGTCCCGATACAAAAATTCTAAAAGCTTACAAAAATGTTTAACAAACAATCTCTTTGTAACTTAAAAGCCTAAAATGTGTAGCAGGAAAAGGAAAATGCCATAGCCAGACCGGTATTCAAACTCCAGACGGATGCTTTTAACTAAGTGAGGTGATGAAAGACCTATTCTGACATTCCTCCCACCATCAGCAAAGTCTTTGACCCCAATGACACTCAAGCCCCTATTCCACTTAAAATGTAACAGAAAACGGAAAGTTCAGCAGTCCTATTGGGATTCAAACTTGTGGTACCTCGGAACTCTTACCAACGGAGGTAACTGGTTGCAGGGTACTTCGCCAGTCAATTCATGACACAATGATGTTGTCCAAATAAAGGCCGAGACAGCTGTTGAGTCCGTTTTTCACAAAGGATATGCCCCAAAAGTATCGACAATGTTGTCCCAATGGAACTAGAATTATACTGATGACTAATATAAGTTTTATCAAATGTGAGGCGGCACATGTCGCTCTTTGGGCAAAAATGATGCTCACCCTCACAAAGTCTGCCAACACGGCTAAAGACGTAAACACATGTCAAGAAGTAGGTTACATGTCTCGCAGAGTATCGACCAATAAAAACTTCTTTACCCAGAGACCATCACAGCCATTTTGAAACGCCAAACGATTGGCCACACAACTTCATCCCTCCCGTAGAGCCTCCTTGTAATTGATCGGATAATTTAGTGCCAGTTGAATTGACGAAGTCGGAAAAGGGCAAATATATTAATTTTGCAACAGCAAACATGATGCTCTAGTCATGCATTTGAAGTTTTGTTGAAATCAGCTCTAGTTTCGGAAGGATTGATTCCAATAATTAACCCCCAAACTTAATGCGGTTGCTATAAAATGTACATATTTTGAATGCCTGTATAAAGGATATGGCGTCACTTGGCTGTATTGGGCATAATTATCATTTCACTTCAATGTTTTTTTCACCTATATTCGTCTCCATTGCCATACTTACAAATATTGTGCAGACAGTGCAGCATACTGAAATCGGGTCCCACTATTTACAGTTCCATATGATACTTTGAATTCATTTGGACGCTAAGTGAGACATTCTGATTGAACATGATTTATGGTATGAACAGAAAACTCAAACAAAACTCTGGTCAAGAGAATTTTTATTCTCGTCAAGACATGCAAGTCAGTTTCCCTGCAAAAAAGTGTCTTAATCAACGCTTCAAAGGAACAAACTATGACAAAAGTGCAATAGAGTAAAACAGCATTGTTGAAAACAAGGAACAGTAAATGGTAACAAGAGTAACAAATAAGAAGACCACATAGCTATAACCTTGGGTTGTATGTATCTCCTTCAAGCTTCAAGAACTTTAGTCATCACATTTAAGGGAGTATCATATACAGTTATATTTATGGCAGTTTTATTTTTCATTTCTGTCCACTGAATTGGCGAATTTGAGTATTTCTAGTAAAGTAACACTACAGGATCATAACAGTTGTGAAACTGCAGGGTACAGATTTTTAAACGTTTTTCATGTGAACACAAAAATAAGACTGCCTGAAATAAAATCTGTATACAGTTTGTATCTCCTTCAAACTTAAACAAGTCGTTTACACAGTCATAATGTTAGAGAATATGTTTCCTTCAAAACAGAAAATAAGATTTTCATATTAAACACATTGGTTTCATATATTTCTACAACTATTTATCCGTCAATAAGCCCATGCCTGGTAATAAGCCCACCCATATATATTGTAGTTCAATATAAATGCTAATTCGTTGTCCTGTAATAAGCCTGGTTGAACACCCTTACTATGAGTCAGAGATTTTGTGTTGCCCTCTAATTGCAAATAAATATGGTATATAAAGTACCAATCTTATTGTTGTGGAAATTACCCATACAGAGTGTTTCTTTGTCTTACAGCCATTCAGGACAATGTTCTTAATTTATGCTGAGCTGGTATTCGTCAGAATTTAATTGATATCAAATGAGTCCACAAATATTGGTTGTTTCATAAAGGAAATTAACATGAACTCTGAACCACAATTCTCCAAAGGTTGTTTATTTAAAGTAACATTACTCATAGATTGAAGGAATCTGTAAATAAAATACCTGTAATAACCGAGGGGGTTACTGTCCTTTTGAAGAGGGACGATATGACTAGGATACCTAGTAATTATCCAGCAAGAGACTAGGAAATGAACTCCAAACTAAATTATTAATCATATACACCTATCCATTGTCAAGCGGAGACAAATAAATTGAGCATTTCAGTAAAAAAATAAAGCGACATACAACTTCTAACGACTTGATGAAACCTTGGATACACCAGAGTTATAGGGAAAGTGTAGTATACCTCATGCTACCCATGGTGGTCTAGACTAGGAGATTCTAGATTGTGTAACAAATTTAGATTAAAAAGCTTTTCTGTACATGTACATGTATTGACAGTTCAGAAAATTACTGAAACTTTCGGACTCACAAATGATAACATTTACATCATCAAAACATGTTATGACATATGTACTTATTTTAAATATGTCTCTAAAGAGTCAGATCATTGTTATATTATCGATAAACTAATAATTGGAAGGAAGAGATTTTTATAAAACCTGGAAAAATGGCTGATCAACATTGTTTCTTAATTAATTCTATAAATAATGAAAAGTTCCAATTCATATTCTACAGATCCTACGACCATGCCGCAACCTAACAATTTATAACAGGATTCTGGGGGTCAGCAGTATGACCCTAAGTTGTATCACGTAATAACATATCACATTCAAGTCTAGAAACACACAGCAAATAGTCATATTCTGGTGATATTCCCGAATATAATTATACCTTAAAAATTGACCATGAGGGTTCGGTTTATACTTGTACTCTCGGCCCAAACACAACCCCTCCCCCGTACCCAATTATTTTTAGCACCAAT